ACCCAAAAAAAAAAAAAAAAAAACAAAAACAAAAACAAAAAAAACATAAAAACCACCTAAATTACTATTAAATTTAAAACAATGGAAACATTACACTCACTTTTTTGTCTTTGTTGTATTTGGTAAATATCTCCTGAGCTCTCTCTTCTCCTCCATCCGTGAACAACATGATAATCTTATTGCAGTTGGCTCTAGACACATTATACTGTTAAAAAAAATGTATATCATTCATAATAAAAGGTAGGGAGTATAAAAGCAATATGGAAAGAGCATGCACAGGTTGCAAGTAATGACTGAAGTACCTGCTCAATAAGTCAATTCTAAGAACCAGTTCCTGGATCAAGCCAGGGCTACGCATCCCTACACAGGGGCTCTGCCTCATTCCCAACACCCACGGGTCTCCCTTCCTTCAGGCTTCTGATCAAAGGTCACCTTACCAGTGAGGACTTTCCTGACAACCTTCCCCTCCCAGGCTGTATTTTTCTCCATAGCATTTCACATTTGTTTACATGTAGTATATATTTTATTTGTTTTTTTACTATTGGCTTCTCCCAATAGAATGTTAAATGCCAAAAGGGCATAAACTTGTGTCGTTTTCGTTCAGTGTTGTTTCCTTGCCTAGATGAATGCCTAGCACATAATAACCTCTCAGTGGTTAATTAATAAATGCATTTTAAATTAATTAATGGCCACGATGTCAATTTTATACCCCTATAATTTACACGAGAAACAAAGAAATATTAATAAAATGTGCATAGCTTTTCACATATATTTTCAATCTATTCACAAACATTTGTTCCTCTCTTCCCTTCATCTTACTTTATTCACTTTACATTTCTGAAATTGCAGTGTTGATCCCTAATGCCCAGTGCTCTTTCATATCTTTGTAAATGTCGACAGCTACTTCCAGAATATTCTCCTATCTGCTCGCAAGCAGCCACACATATTCTAATCCTGAAAGACTCAATTCCAGTGGTAAATCCTTTCTTACACTTTCTTTAAGGTCCCCAAAGAGTTGGATTTAGGTAAACAATGGATTAGCATCAAAGGACCATGAAAATGCACAATTAATTTAAAAAGCCGTATTTCTTTGAGGTCTTTCTACTGTTGTGAAATGTGTTTGTCAAAGTGTTGAGAACAAAAGATTCACACTAAGTTATGAATGCTCAGCTTCTTCGAAAATGTCAACCCTCTAGTTCAGCAATATTCAAAGGAGATACAATGTGAGCCTAATTTGTAATTTTAACCCTCTAATGGCCACATTCAAGAAAGTAAAAAGAAATATCTGAAATTTTAATAACATATTTAACTCAGTCATTCAAAAATGTTATCAATTCAACATCAAATCAATATAAAAGTTACTGAGATAATATACTTTTTTTTCTTTCATAATAAGTACTAAAATTTCAGTGTGTACTTGTAACACATTTCAGTTCAGACCAGGCACATTTCAAGTGCGCAACACCCACTTGTGATCATGGTTATCACACTGGACAGCACAGTCTTGGTCTTTAAGTGACTAATACATTGTTTTAAAAATCACTAATTCTCCTATAGTATTTAAGCTTATTGAAGGTCCCTATTCCTATTTGTCAAAAAAGGAAATCCCATTTCCTGTGGAAAAGTTAATGAAGACAACATTTTCCTTTACTGATGAAAAGATCCTGTTTCATATATTCTTACCCCATTGACTAGGCCATTAGACCATGGGGAGTTAAGGCTTTTAACCAAGCACTGTGAAAACTCAAGTATTAACTAATACAATTTATCACATTCAAGCACCATTCTTATTTTTGAAGATAATTATCTGAAAATTTGACCATACAAAAATTTACATATTTTATCATCAAAATAATTTTGTGAAAGGTGTTGAAGTCCCTTAAACTAAAATTAGTTTCTCTAATGACTTGTGTTTTCTATTTGCGTATATAAAATGGGCAAAATAATATTTACCTAAAGGACTGTCTCAGAAAAGTGATAAAGTTTTTAGAACAGAACTTGGTTTCATTTTTTGAAGTAGTGGAGGTATTCTTATTATCATCACTAAATGCAAGTATCAAAGTTACTTTCAGCACATTGAGTCTTGCTGATCATTCGTAAGACACCCACAAAAAGAGGAACACAGCAATGTTGTGTTTCCAACATCATTTTTCCTCAGGACTTGTGGGAAAGCAGAGTCTATCTCAGCAATTTTTCATCAGGTTTGCAGCTATCTAAAGAATCATACAGTCACAACAAGTATACGTAACTGGCTTGGAAGGAACTAAGCAAAGGAAAGAAATTGATTATGTCAATAAAAATACAACAGCTAGGGTTGGTAATTTACGTTAATATGGTATTTCATGACACACTGTTGTATCTCTGTGTGGCCAGTATGTAGCAGAGCATCTATCATATGCACTCAATAAAATTATTTTGGAAAAATGCACCTCAATATATTTGTCAGTATTTTATGAAATGCTAACTGAAGACTAATTCAAATCTTAACGTCTAATTCTATTTGACACTTGAGTCAATGATCTTAAGGGTAAACCTTGCCGGGACAAACAAAAGAGAAGGAATGGCACTGCATGATGAGAAAAAGACTAGAAGTGTCTGAAAGAGGTAACAGAACATGCTTCAGCTCAATAAGGCAAGCCATGGCATTTGGGAAAATTATTTTAAAATGAAGAATTGCAATATCTAAGGGACATGTGGAAAGCAAAACACACGAGGTTTACTATTGACGACATATTAAAAATCATTTACAACTTTGGTAAAGGCAGTGGGAGAGGCCAATAGGAGTTAGATCATATTTTATCAGCAACTAATAATGAACGTGGGAGTTAACGTGGCCCCTCTACATGACTGCCTCTGAAATAGTACATTAGGCTTAAGACTTCTCATCATTTCACAACGGAAACCTGAATAGGAGGGAATGAGTGAGGCCAGTTAACAACACTAAGAGGAATAATTAAAATGACAAGACCTAGAAAACTTGATTATTGACTCAAGAGAAAAAAGTTAATATAAAAACCTTTCACATTCCTTTACTACAGAAAGAATATATTCCACTCTAATGATCAATTACGCTTGAATTTCAAAGTTTTGAGTTTTCATTTTTTATTAATAAACATACATTATTTAATAATCATATGCATTTTACCAAAGATAATTTCCCCTGAAAACTGCAGTGTGGAACTTCTTTGCTTTTCTAACTCCTTACTTGCTTATCTAATGGTATCTAAGAAAATATCACTACCTCAAACTCCAAATAATTGAAAATTCTACTCTCACATTCCCTCTTTCTAGACTCCTGTGCCACCATCCACCTAGATAACTTGGAATCATCCCCTCCCCCTCCCAGCAACCCCTCCTACCCACCCAATCAGGTCACTCGCCTTAACATCTCTGCACGTCTAGTCTAATACCAGGATTTCTACAATAGCTTCTGAACGTAGAACACTCGTCAGATGATGTCTTTCTCCTACCACAAACTTTTCATTTGCTCCTACACACTTCATTTAAACACAGCTCATGGTCTTTCCATTTCCATCACCTCTCCCCTACTGCTTATGGCCCAGCCATACCAATCCACCTGCAATTCTTTCAATGTGCATGACACCCCATGCTTCTGTGCCATTGTCGATGCTGTTCATTTTATCTCCCTCACCGCTCATTCTTCAAAATCCTGTTTTCAAGGAAGTGCAACAATTTTCTGACCTCCTTTGGGTAAGTTGAGCCCCCTTCCCCAAGCTGCTCCGAGCAAACACACCGTGAATACCCTGTAACAGCACTAACATGTTATATGAGAAATGATGATTTAGCATGTTATGCTCGATCTTCTTGAGAGCAAATGGTTTTGTTTATGTCTGGAATTTCAGCAATAGCACTGTGACAGGATAAATGGTGAGGCACTCAATAAATACTGGCTGAATGAACAAATCAATGAGTCATCACCCAATCAGAGATCTTGAAAACTGTTTAGAAGATTTACTTCGGGAACAACGAAATCAAGTTTGCAGAAAAGACCAAATATAAGGGCTTATTTAGTGACTCAGCAAATATGACAGGAATTATGTGCTGATTCTGTCCCAGCCACATGCTATTTATTAATTAATTATAACACCAACTCAACAGCCTACAGTCTCATGTGCTTTTCTATGTGGTTTGTTATGTCCACTGATTCTGTGGACATTCTTTACACAACCCTAGTTAGGAAACCAAGGCAGAGAGATGTTAGGTCCATACTCTGAACCACTGCAATAATATTGCTTCAGAAGAGATACAAACCTGAATGACAGCTCCTGCTTTCAAATAGTTCAAATGAAACAGACAACATGGCCATTTGAAAATACTAGTCCGCAGTGTGAGATTCATGTTATAATATTGTTATGATATGGGACAGGTAGTAGGTGTGCCAGAGTTTAAAAGCCTAACTATAGACGTCGATGATTCATTCAAGGGAATTTTCTCTTTGGAAAGAATTTCTGCTCTTCCTGTCTACCCTGATGTGAACCATCTGGACCTTTTTGTACATTTAGGAACAACCTGAAGATTCAAACTAGATGTTTAAAACAAATATTTCCAGAAACCATTTGATGACTGAGAGCACAAGTTGCCGAATAAATACAGTACTAATTGAGATAAGACAAAAGAGATGATATTCTAAATGTGCCAACTAAGTTTCCAGTGCTTCTTCAAAATTAAATTAAATAATTACCTTACAAATGTATTTTTTAAACATAGTTTGAAAAAAGAGGGTAGAAGAAAAGATCTAAAAGAAAAATAAAATCTACATTTTGTATACCTTCTGAATTTTGGATTTACAAATAAAAAAAGTTCAAACATTTTTACTGCCTAGACACATCTGCTTTCTAAATGAATGAAAAACAGAACTGTTATCTAACCCTACAGAGCTGTAACTACCAGGATACTGAAATTCAGATCCTACAATTCAATAATAAAAGACAAAAGGGGGTAGTATTAATACTTACATTAAGCAGCTGTTCAAAAGCAAAACTAAAGCCCTTCTTATAATCTGTGATTCCTTTCGCTGTGATATTATTCACTGCATCTTTCAGCACTTTCTTATTTCTTACATTTGCTTGGACAAGGTGCTGAAAACAGCTTACATCCTGGGCATTGCTGTTAAACTGCAAAAGATAAAAAGTTAAATGTATAAACCAACATTAAAATCAATCATGTAATTTTTACTGAATTTGTGTTATACTTCTCAATCCTTCTGCATTGCTTTCTCTTTCAAAAAGAAAAGTGAGTAAATTGGTAACAGAAGTGCACTAAAGATCAAACAGTAATTTTCATCCATGCCCCAACCCCTACTGTATTAGCCTGTCGCTTATTGACACTTTCTTGAACCTAGCTTGGTTTCCCTGATTATAAATTTGGGATTTGAGCTATGTGAGGTCCCGCCCAGCTCTCAAATTTTATGAGCATCTAGATTACAAAAAAAAACCAAAAACAAAACACAACGCTCTCAACAAACAATGAAATATATTCAGAATGCAGAAATGGTATGATGATGCCTGCACAGAATATAGGGAGAAACTGAGCATTTCACTCACCTCGCATGAGGAAACGCTAAATGGAAAAGTGGTACACAGAATGACAGGAACAGACGTTTAGTAAATTTGAAATTTGATGGTAGTCTTTCCATGGGGGTCAAAACAGGAAAGCAATCTGAAAGACTCAAGAACGAGTGGCCTTTCAGAACTATCACTCTAGAGGTAATATAGGGAATGCAGTGGAATCACAGAGGCAAGAGAAAGGGCAAGCAGGTCATGGCAGAGTTACTGCTGTGAGTGATAAGGGCCTGAACAACAAAGTCTGTAGGAGGAGAAAACAAACTCCAATAATATCTGCCCCAATTGAAAATTTAAGAATGATCACCAAAGTAATTTCAGCAACCGTATAAAAAGTATTCACACAGTTCACTGGATATTTCCAAAACGATAAGAATAGGACTCCAGCAAGAAGATCAGGGCGCTAAAATGAATGGGATCGTCCTATCATTTATTAACTCTGCTATGTGTACAAGCCCCTTAGGCTCCTGGGGCCTAGACTGTCACATCTACAAAAGCAAAATGAGAATAATAATAAAACCATACTTGCTAAAAGGAAAGGGGCTGGCCAGATGAAATGTTGAAGATATTCTCAGATCAAAAGCACATAATGATTTTAATAGGTGGATCACAAGCCAAAATGTATTTTTACATAAGTGATTATCTATTCTCATAAATATAATGCATCATTCTTTTTTCTCTGAAGATCCCTGAAACCTAGTGATAAGGTACACTGTACAATTCATCAAACCATTAAGCAAATATTCATTGGCGGCCTGTTATATGTCCAGAGTTGTGGTAGGTGAGAGCTCTGTGCCTTCAGACATGAGGTAAATTATGCACACACACATATATATGTATGTAAGCACTTATACGTGTTTACTTTGTGCTGCATTGACTATTTGCTCTACAAATATTAATCATTTCCTCTTTGAAAATGCGCTGCAAGTAAGTAGTATTATTATCCATGAGAAACCTTAAGCATAGTTAAATGACTTGTCTATAGTCACGTAACAAATAAGTAACAGAGTCAGGATTCAGACTAGCACTGTAGCAAGAGTCTGGGATTTTAACTACTCCCGCAGTGCCTCTCAGTATACTACAATAAATCATGATGAGTTATGTAAATCAATATAATCCTAATCTCTAAAGAGAAAATATCTGGAGAATGGGTTCTGATTTGGACTGTAAGCAGTTGGGGGGAAAATTCCCTAAGAAATGGCATTTCCTGTGATTCCACAGAAATGTTTCCTTGAAGACTATAGAGGAAGAACATTCCAGGCAGATAGAACAACACGTAAAAAGGCCCTGATGTGACAAAAAGAAAAGAAGCCTCTTAGGGAAACATAAAGATGGACAGTTTAGCTCAGTTTCATATGAGGACTAATGACATGAAAAGAGCTCAGGGACGGAGGCAGGGTCTAACAGAAATGCTAAACAATTAGGCATGTATTCTCTGTCGAGTGGCCAGTCATGAAAGGTTTTAAGCCAAATGCAAAATAATTTAATCTAGAACTTTAACAGCTCGCCCTAGCTGCTGTTTAGGAATTGGATGTAAGGTGAGCAAAATTCAAAGGATGGAAAATAATTAGGAGGCTATTGCAGTAATACAGCTGAAAAGACAAAGTGGCTTTGTTATTCATGGAGATGGTCCGAAAAGAGGGGTTCAAAACCTGTTTTGGAGAAAGAATCACTAGCTTGTGATGGTGCACTGGGTCTGCGTTGAGTAAGAAGAGAATTCTGACATGGGCATCTGCGTGGTCGGAGGAGGGACGGGTTCAGGGACACTTGAGGATTAGGGGAGAGAAGCACACAGTTCAAGTGCGGGTGAGATTTCAGTATGTGAGATATGCAAATAAAGATGTCAAGAAATCATAACGTTGAAAGCAAGAGGCTCAGAAGAAGTCTTGATTAATATAAAAAACACGGAAAGCTTCAGCAGAGAAATTTGATTTAAAGCCATGTGATTAAAAGTGAAGCAGAGGAGGGGTCTGAGAAAACTGAGCAGGAGTAAGATCCCTTGGAGGCAGGAAGGAAGTCAGGAGATGGGACTGCCTGAGATGATGAGAGGAAAACAGTCTCAAGAAGCACACACTGTGGGACAGAGACAGGAAAGATGAGGACTTAAAAGCACCCACTGCACTCATCCCTGTTACACAGGCAGTGTCTGGAGATCGGTGGGGGTGGGGGGGGGGGCAGGTGGAACACAATGGAGCGCGCTGAACAACAATGGGAGGGATTAGCCCGTGCAGAGGCAAGTCTTCAGAGCATCTGGGCTGGGAGGCAGAGAATGAACAGGGTGGTCCCTGAAGGGGTGGATGGGGGTCAAGGAGAGGTTTCCAAATTTTATTTATTTATTTATTTATTTTTGGCTGTGTTGGGTCCTCATTGCTGCACGTGGTCTTTCTTTAGTTGCGATGAGCGGGGGCTACTCTTTGTTGCAGTGTGCAGGCTTCTCATTGCGGTGGCTTCTCTTGCTGCGGAGCACAGGCTCTAGGCGTGCACTTCAGTAGTTGGGGCACGCAGGCTCAGTAGACGTGGCACACGGGCTTAGTTGCTCCGTGGCATGTGGGATCTTCCCAGACGAGGGCTCAAACCCGTGTCCCTGCATTGGCAGGAGGATTCTTAACCACTGCGCCACCAGGAAAGTGAAGGATCACTAGAGCAAGAGAGGATTTATCTTGAAGAGAGAAGGAAGAAAACGTTGCAGGCAACAGAACAGAGGTGAAAAACGAAGCTCTTGTGAAGATGGGGAAGGATGGGACACAGATGCTCCTAGAGGAACAAGCCTGTAAGAAACCATGTATCCACTTCATTGTACTGGGAAAGAAGTGCGAGGTCTGAGTCCTGCCGCTGGGTGTACAGAGATTTAGTGTGGGGAAATGATATTATTGCCTGTGGCTTTTGTCTCCAGTGGACCATGAAGCAAGGTCATCAGGACAAAGTAAAACAGGAGGTGGAAGGTTTGGAGAGAGTACAGATAAAACAGGAAGTAAAATGTCTTGCAAAGATAAATACTGAGTTCTTTCTCACTTTTACTTGGAACACTACTTTTGGGTACATCATATATATGAGAACAAAGCTCCAATATACTTGTTTTCAATAAAGTCAAACACTGAAAAGTCAGTATCTTCAGATCCAAATCCCACTGCCTTTCCCCGCCCCCAAGTATTTGATAATCTGACACAATCTTATGCTACACATCCCGTTTTGAAAGCAAAAGAATATGAGAATTCCCGTGTTAGAAAGTAAAAAATTAAGTAAAAATAAAAAATCGATTGCCAATACATTAACGGTAAAACATCTGACCTTAAAGAATCATTAGAAATGATTACAGGAAATGTTATTATGTGATTTAGTTAAATCATGAAACTTGATAAAATTACAAGTTATGCAGAAAATGAACACTGGATAATGTATTGCCCGGAGTCTTTCGGTTGGCCTTAACCTGCTTTTAACACAGAAGAGTGAAGCATCTCATTAAGTCACTTTAACACAAACTGATTAAATGTAAATTCAATTCATTAAATACAAATTCAGCGGTGTATAACAAATACTCCAATTATACTCATAACAAAACTCATAAATAATGCAGAGAAAGGAATAACTTACAAAGTATAAGTCCCTATGGCAAACCTTATTCTCCAAGAAAGGAATGAGAAATGTGAAAAGTTCTGACTGAGGTAAGTATATATTTCACAGACATCTTAGACTCACTTGCTTTTAGAATAGGAAAAAAAAAAAAAAAAACAGATTTACTTTCATGAACTGAAATTACTGTCTTTGGTGACATGTGTCCAGACTGTAATTTATAAACCACATATTTAATACATTAACCACCACTTAGGGCAAAAGTCTAATAATATAGCATTATAAAGCTTTGAAATACTACATGGTGACTGAAAATAGATGTAAGGAGTCCTGCTTTTGTAATCTCTTAAGAAAATACTTCTTTTAAATATGTATACTTAACTAATCCTACAGAGCCCCAAATCCAAACTACCGTCATGCTCATTCCTTCCCAATTCCAGAAAATTCAACCAAGTAGGTCCCTTATCAGAAATGCTGAGAAAAATCTCTGCTAGCACACTGAGACAGGAAGGTGTGTGGGTTAACGTGAGCATCTGGGGTAGCAATGAGGAGGGATTTCTATCTCTGCCCCAGCATTTGCACATTCTTTTGTTTTCCTCTTCCACATACCCTGCTCTTTCGGGCTACAACACTTGCTGTCCCACTTACCTCAACATTCTTTCCTTATAAAAGGCTTTCATGATCTTCCCTGACTAGGTCAAATCACCCCATTAAAAGTTTCATAGGCCTAGATATATCTTTTTTATGGAATACATCACAGTCATAATTCTATATTTCTTTGTATGATATCTTTATAGACTCTTTGACTGGATTAAAAGCCATGGCCAAAAAAGAAAATAGACATCCCACCACTGTACTTGACATATTAATAGGTATCCATATAATTGGTGTACAATCAACATACAAAATAAATATTTACTGAATGAATGTATGGAGTTTAAGAAAATTAGAAGACAGTGCACAAATACTGATCAATAATTTAG